GCCTCGCCCTCCGCGTCCCCAAGCGGGACGGCGGCCCCGGCAATGCCGCCACGCCGGCGCCCGCGGGCACGCTCGGCTACCTCGACCCGGCCTACGTCACCCCGGAGAGCCTCAGCACCAAGACCGACGTCTTCAGCTTCGGGATCCTGCTGCTGGAGATCATGAGCGGACGCAAGGCCATCGACGTTCAGTACTCGCCGCCCTCCGTCGTCGAGTGGGCGGTGCCCCTGCTACGCAAGGGGAAGGTCGTCGCGCTGTTTGACCCACGGGTGGCGCCGCCCCGCGACCCAGTCACTCGGAGGGACCTGGCTTCGCTGGCGGCGAGCTGTGTGCGGTCCTGCCGGGAGCGACGGCCTTCAATGGCTGACATTGTTGAGCGGCTCGCCGTCATCAGCAAGGCGGTGTCTGCCAAGGTGTGGAACGGGATGGCGGTGGTAGGGAACCCTTGCGCCATTGTTGATGTTCAGAAGACCATCTCGAAGCGAGCTGCTGCATCGGAGAAGGAATCGACTTCAGCATTGGCATTTGATGATGATGATAAGGAGGCAGATGCGACCTTGGAGGAGCTGGTGCCGCTGGTGGGTGCCAAGAAACCACCACGGCCGTTGAAGGACGGAAAGGTGTTCTCTGAGGCAGGGGATGGTGAGAGGAGAAATCTATTGGAGCTGATGGCTCGGATTGATGGTGTTGCTGGCCAAAGATTTGGCATCAGTCGGGCAAGAACAGTGCGCGGCACTAGTGATCTTATACAAAAGGATGCAGTCTTGATCCTGAGGAGGAACCAAACCGTAAGAGTGGTTGAATCAGAGGCACTCGGTAAAGTTGAAAGGGTTTCGTGTTTAGATGCAAGCATCAAGCATAAACCTGCAAAAGAATTTCAAGAGAAACCAGAGAAAATGCAAGACAAGGCCGATGGAGTGCAAGAGAGAGCAGAGAAAATCCAAGAGAAGGAAGGCAAAATCCAAGAAAATCCAGGGGAAATTGATAAAGTTGAGAATATCCAAGAAAAGACGGGGCAAATCCTTGACAAAGCTGAGAAAATCGAAGAAAAGACAGGGCAGATCCTTGACAAAGCGGAGAAAATCCAAGGCACGCCGGAGAAAGTCCAAGAAAATGAAAGAAAAATCCAAGAGCACACGGAGGTAGTCCAACACAATGTGGAGAAGATCCAAGACAAAGCAGAGAAGATCCAATGCAAGTTGAAACAAAGTTAAAATCACACAATTATTCTTGAGGCCAGCTTGATGAATTATTGTTGGCAGTCGATCTCAAGGACAAAGCTCATCAAGTCATGAGGTACCACCACCAATCTTACTCTTCTGGTGCTGGGATGGTAATATCTGATCCATCCAAATAGGATGGCCTGGCTGTGACTTGTGATGATTCACCAGTAAGACCTAGGAATTCAAATCCTAGCTAGGTGGTCCGTCATTTGCAGCATTACCACTGTGCCAGCAATGTTATCAAAGGTCACATGGTACTGGTACTGTCAAAACTCTGAAGCCTGAACGACAACACAGTCCAGCACGTCGTGAGATGATGATACAGCACTTGGGTGCTGTTAATGCAATCCACACTCCGTGTAAGCAACTGATGTTCATTTTGCCGCTTCAGATCAAATCATGTGGAGCTTCAAAATGGACATCCGTTGAAGGCATGCATGCCTTAGTTGAAATAGATTGTTGTTGTAGCTTTTGTGCAGCTTCCTTGATTCTTTTTCCTGTGTCTGCGTACAAGAATCAACAAGTGCCCCATTGATTGATTTGTATGTAAACAGGACGGCTGATGAAGTGGATGTTAAGAGGGAAAAAAAATTATTTTGACATTTCCATCTTATCTTGAGGAGGTACATAAAGAACTGCCACCCTGCTATGCTCTTACTCTTCCATGTGCTCGGCGTGCAGTGTGCTACAGTGTTATACTGCTAATGGCAGTGCTGTATTTTATTGCCTGTGTCGACCAATACCTCTTCCAAAAATGAGCACCTGCAGTGTGTGATTTGTCTTTACAATAGGATGTGCGTAATCATACTGTTCAAATGAAGGCTCTACCAGGATTTCTGGTCAAATTGGGGAAGAAACAATTCAACCATTGTGTTCATTAATACTTCATTCTCCCTGTTGCTGCATTTGTGATAAGGCATGAGAGAGTAGGCATTCTTTACTTTTATTTTTACTTCCTCCGTTCCTAAATACTCCTATTTGTCTTTTTAGAGATTTCAACAAGTGACTACATACGGAGCAAAATGAGTGAATCTACACTCTAAAATATGTCTACATACATCCGTATGTGGTAATCCATTTGAAATCTCAAAAAGACAAATATTTAGGAACGGAGGGAGTAGTATTTATGAATGTATTAAACCTTTACAAGTGTCCTGTTTGGTTTGAAGATGGAACGCATGGCGGATGGTGGTTAGTCTTTTCCTGAGCATCCTTCAACAGGTTTTGATTGGGCGCGTCGTTCTTATCTATTTTGAATTTGGTTGGTGCATTCATTGCCAATATATTCATCACATGAAATGTGTGGGACAACTGAACATTGCCGTCCTTGCTTCCATATTAATGTTTTGCCCAGCTGTCTGCGTCGTCATATGGACTCGATGCATTCTTTAATGTGCATATGGGGCATCTATAGGATATAATTATCTCAGAAATGCCCAGAAGTTTTGGGGTTTATTGGTTTGTTCATAGCAGGGCAGTACATGCTCTCTTCACTCTTGGTATTGCTTTTGCCGGCCAGCAGAAGAGGTTATGAACACTACAGTCTTATTAGCTTGATCAAGATCTACCTTGTATCTTTGTCAAATCAGCAATGTAATTCTGTGGAAGAAGTGCATGTATATGGGGGGTGGGGTGGTACAAGAGTGGGTGAGAGTGAGCATGGGAAGTAGGAACATGATGCATGATACTTTGTACCCTAACACTGTATGCCTATTACATTTGTGTCATGGAGGACAACTGAAGCCAGTGGTAGGCCTTGCAACCATTCCGTTGTGTTGATCAAATTTTTCGACAAGGATAGTGTTGAACAAATATGAAAAGCCTTTGATTCGTGGCATTTTAGAAGGCACAAACAAGAAAAATCTGAGATTAAATTGTATGGACCTCTTGCGTCCAACATGATGGGATAGAAGTTGGTGGCACCAAACATATCTCTTCCAGATTCTTATCTGGAAGCTAGAGCAAAAGTAGTTCGGAGGCGAAAATAAAACTCAAACCCCACAAATCAACCACCCCCGTGGGTGTGGCTAGCTCTTGTCTAGACGAGAATTAACGAGTCTCATCTAAGTGACGTTAGCATGGAAAAAGAAAAATCCTTTGAATCGGAGAGTCCGTGAATGATGTCTATTGTCCTCTCGTATTATCATCTACTAGAATGATTGTCATCATCAAAAGATTAGTGGGTGATGGGTGATCAACAACACAAGCATTCGCTGGAACAGTCCCCGGTCTCGGAACGATTCGAAGATCACTGATTGTTTGTCTCATGTCACATCACTTACTGTAGGGAGATCAATCATGAATGAGCCCGCCCACTAATCTAACTGTTAGAATACGATTGGGTTTAAGTTAGAGATAAAGAAACAAAGGTAGGATGGTTTAAACCAAGTACTCTCCTCGATCCGTATTAATTGTCGATGGTTTGGTATAAAGTTGTACTAACTTTGTACTAGAATCAACGACAATTAATCTGGATTGAAGGGAGGTCTTGTACTCTAAATCTCTCTCCCTTATATTTTATTCCGTGTGTACCCTACAAGGATCAACTCAACACATTGGACAAGTCAAAATATGTTTTCTAGAGCACCTTTGATAAATGCTGCATATAATTTAATTTCTATTTTTCCACAAGCGTGATGAAAACAATATGTATCCACCATTGTAAATGCCATGCACTTTTTTCCTTTTGCATCCTTATTAGAAGTGAGCACAAATCTCAAATTATGTATGGTTCATCGCCTCATGGTCACGATTACATACTTAGCCTTTTGTTGCTTTTATGATTGATCATTTTCACACTTCATGTGCAAAGAAGCCTCCTTTTTTATGACAAGGTCTCTTTTATTGACTACCCAAAACTGGAAAAATGAAAAATTCCATCATAACACTTTAACAATAATCTTACTAGTAGTGACCAAACGGCAAATACAAAGGGTGCACTTCATACTCCTGCCATGTCTGAAATTTTGGATCGTCGTAGCTGGCTCCATGCGTACGTGTACTTCATATTCTTGTCATGTCTGAAATTTTGCATCGTTGCAGCTGGTTCTGTGCGTACAATCAAGCCGGGGGTGAGCCACCGAGTTGTCACTCGCCAGTGCGTTGGAGAAAGCGGACGGGAATTATTGGCCCGTTTGGTACGTTTAGAGTTGGATGTCCTCGCAATTCTATGATTTGATAGAATCGAACCGTGATCCATGAGATCCCATCTTAGGAAGTAGTAGGTGATGATCGGCCTGCCTGGCGTGATGTGGAAAGATCATCCTGCTGGAACAAGGCACGATCAATGACCGTCCTTCTTCTTCATTACAGCTATTATTAACGTGGTGGTTTAGGGATAAGATAGTATTATTCTGGTTGTTAGAAGAGCGCAGCTGGCGCTGTTGAGACGCATGTTTCTCTCATTTATACACTCTATTCAGAGCACAGAGATTTTTTTTTAAGTCGGACACGTATATATAAAAACGGCGCAATCAATCAGTTTGGTTGATATTCATCGCCCCCCAAAAAAAAGTTCGGTAGATAGGGTCCTTGATATTAAGTAATCAAACAATGCTGACAAAACAGTTTCATCATTTCAGGTTTGAGTAACTCAACAACACCAGTAATAATAACTTCGAAATAATATATGGCCTATCACAACATCATTAGACAAGCGCGATACTGTTTGATTAACAAACTCCAGATAGGCAGTACGTCTGGTTCATAAGATCTCAATTCACTACCAAGTACTCAACCGTTGGGACAAGCCAATCAAGATATCTCAAAGGGCTCCTCTTAAGGATGCCATTCAGGCAACCGGGAGAAGAACATGGGGAGCAACGTTTCGTTTATCACCACTCCATGTTTCTTGTGGTAGACATCATTAACCATGCTTTCCAGGTCTCCGACATCATTATTAGTCATGGCAATGTACTCATTCAGGTTATTTGTGCTTCCATCTGAAACAGGTTGGAAGTACAAATGAGTAAACGTGTTCCAAACTATGAACTGGAAAGATACCGTGCAGCTATATAAATTCAACATACTACCAGAGATAATTTTCAGTTTCTAATAACTTTGTTACTGCTTCTCATTGTGTGTCTAGACATGTAAATTTCCTATGCACGACTGATTGTTCCGGGAACTACTTGATGACTAGGAGAATATGATGGTGCAATGAATTTTCACAACAAGATGGTTCAGGCATACAATCTGATACCTTCCGCAACAATTGGTTCATATTTTGGGGGTAACTCAATCCAATTCCCCACGGGGTCCTTCATGTGACTTCTGTCTGATGCAAATGATCGAAGAAATACCGGACCATGAACTACACGGAAAAGTCTGTAAACAGTAGCTGGTAGATAGTTAGTACTGATTTTCAACCCCCAAAACAAACTATCATTCATGCCCCCCTATATTTCAACGCAGACATGTATCCCTATTGGGATTTACACAGATAGCGGAGCAGAATGGTTCTAACCAAGGATGAGAACATAAGTAACATGAAAGTCCCCTTCTACACCTGATCTCAAATGAACAGTAACCCGAAAAACATTAAAAAAATGTTCAAAAAAATCTGAACTTTTTATGGCAAACTTTGACAAATGTTCTAAGAGCTTGCAAAATTTCATCATGAAATCACATTTGTGGAAGTCATGGAAAAAAAAAACTAAATCAGTGCTCCAAAATACTTTCGAAAGTAGCATTTTTCAGAGTATATAGACTTTGTTTTTTTTGCCACGACTTTGCAAAATTTCATCATGAAATCACATTTGTGGAAGTCATGGCAAAAAAAAAAAAACTAAATCAGTGCTCCAAAATACTTTCGAAAGTAGCATTTTTCAGAGTATATAGACTTTGTTTTTTCTGCCACGACTTCCACAAATGTGATTATAGACTTTGTTTTTTTTGCCACGACTTCCACAAATGTGATTTCATGATGAAACTTTGCAAGCTCTTAGAACATTTGTCAAAGTTTACCATAAAAAAAATTCAGATTTTTTTGAACATTTTTTAAATGTTTTTCGAATTTACTGTTCACCCAAGCTCATTTGAGCTCGCGTGCAAAAACTTCACGTCCCATCTACACTATCTTGTATCAGTGTAACTAACACAGGCTATCATGTCCTGCATCAGTCAATAAAACAATTGCATACAAAAAAGAGTAATTCCGAACTAATATGCATCAGGTTTCGCCTATATGAGGAGATTGACACATTGTTTAAGAGTAATCTTGCATGGACACCATCACAATTTTATCTCACCAATGTTACACCTAGAGCAACAGAACCTTACCTTGCATAGATGGAGTCGCCAAATGCTAGTGGTTGAATGGCATCAGCAACGTACTGGAGGAATGGAGAAGGGAAAGGAAGACTGGAGTCCAAATCCCAAACAAGATCAAGAACATCTCCTTTGTTTCGCCTAGACTTTCATATGCACACCAAATGATTAGGTACCATGAAATGTTACTCATACAAAAGCAATGATTTTATATAAGCAATAAATCCAAATCTCAATGCATATATCAAAGCTGAGTACTAACAATGATGTATCAGAATGCCACATCGATCACAGCATCTCCCTACTGTCCATTTTTCATCTTATAGACATCAATAAAGCATAATAAAAACATATGGGAACCCATACATGAAAACAAATCTAGATTCCAAAGCCTACCATTCTTACTTAGGATAAGTTTCATTTGTAAAACCAGAAACAAAACATGGTAAATGGGATAATTGGTTGGCCATCACAAATAGATTAGGCAACTCTTGGCTAGTAACCGTGTCTGACACGTAAACCATGGTGTTAAGCAACTTTGGCATGCCAAACATGTTATGGTAAACCAAATCGTTGCCCAAATAGTCATGCTAGCCTATATTTGTGGGGCTAAGTGCACGAAGATCCAAACATGCCCTTACTTCTAATTTATTTCTCACAATTAAGGTCTCTTACTTCATCTAAAACCTCTCACAATTCACAAAAAAAACAATTAAATTCTCGTAGAGCTCAATCATAATACCAAGCTATAGAGAAAAGCGACACTTATCTAATATAGCTTTTACCTGGATACAGATTACATGGTAATCCCACAAGACAAATCCATCATTAGTACGACTTGCTTTCTGATACCAGAGGGGAATCTGAAATTCCAAGGAAAATACAACATAAACCATAAAAATCAATATAAAAAAGGAAAATATCTGCACTACGAACTAAAATGGAGCTAACAAAAGCAACAAATACACACACTAAAAGAATAGAAGCATAGTACAGAATATAAGATAAAATCACCTTCTTTTCCTCATTTGATATGAAAACAGCATAAAGGTCATTGCCCGCAGGATCAGCAAGTCCAGCTCTAATCAGTTCCTTACATAGCAAGTACACATTTTCTTCACTACACAGTGAAAATTAAACGCAACCGTTATTCAATGAATAAAAATAAAAAAAATACTTGAATTTTGACTGTGGTATGTATAAGCTTGAGAGACACACTTTAGAAGAGAGTAAAACAAGAGAACGAAAATCAATAATTCAACACACGTGAAATAAATAAGGAAATCTGCCCATTACACATTATATATGATGGTTTAGGAGAAGTGGCATGCAATAAACCAATAACAAGATAACCACTGTAGTTGTTGAATCATCCTCATTGTGTACAAGCTTCTTCCAAAGGGTGACTTTTAAAGCAATGTTGAATCACTCAGTAAAGCTAATAATTAATTAAATCAATCTAATCTCCAATTGCACACCAAATAAATTGCATATTTGTTTGTAGGTACTAGCAATTAGCAACTAGAGTAGTTTATGGTTACAAGCTTCAGCACGATCTTGTTCCTAGCAAGTGCCTCATTCAACTTCAAATATGATTTCACTCTAAGAGTCAAGGTTTTAAGCCTAGAACGAGAAATATGAACTGAATCCTATATCTCAACCCTAGTCTCCATTCCCATTCAGCACATCACTCACACACTCAAGCATCTTCAACAGAATCAGTAAAATCTTTATACAGGTAAATAACTGGGTAGGAAAGGTCTATCCTCATCATTAAGAAACCTTTCCACCTCCTGCCCAGAATTTCCTGTGGCCGAGCACGGCAGGAAGAATTAACAATATGTGTTGGAGCCATGGTTGTACCCAATCTGAGCAAGAATGGATCAGGGCGGAGAGATCGATTACCAGTAGTACGGGGTGTGGGTGAAGGATGCGGCATCGATGGGCGGGTTGTCCGGTGCCGCCGGATGGATAGGGGGAGAGGAAGGAGAGGGGTCTACGCCGGCGGCTGCTCCGTCGTCAGCCATAGAGACGCGAGTGCTTGGCGGCAGCCAAGAAGAATAAGGGCTTGTCGCTCGTGGGCTGTGGGGGTGTCAAGGCAACTATGGGCTTATTCGGGCCCAGCAACTGTTCTAATCCCAATTTAGCGCTTCAGAATTTCTCAAAAAAATAATATTAGCGCTTCATAAGCTGGTTAGATTGGTACAGAGCGCACAGGGGGTTAGATTGGTACAGAGCGCACAGGGGGAGTAACTAGTTAACGAGCGCTCCTTCGAGAGCCTCGCAATGATCAGCGCCACTTGACGCGCTCTCAGCCATTCGCCACGTGCCGCGCTCTAGACGCTCCCTCCGGATTTTATTTTTTTTATTTTTCTGCATGTGTTTTCGGCTTTTTAAACGGTTTTTTCCTGGTTTTTTTTAATGTTTTGGTTTTCTTCCGGTCTTCCTTAGCTTTTTGATAAAAAAAATTCGAAATTTTTTTTGCACGAAAAAACACGTTTTTTTCCGCGAAAGTCACGGTTGTGCTTTAGCGAGAGTCACGGCCGTGCCTTTCAAAAATGGAAAAAAAAGCGCGTTTTCTTTTTTTTCTTTCGCGAGAGTCACGGTTTTGCTTCTGCGAGAGGCACGGTTGTGCTTTTGCGAGAGCCACGGCCGTGCCTCTCGGAAAGGGAAAAACAAAACGCGATTTCTGTTTTTTTTCTTTCGCGAGAGTCACGGTTTTGCTTCTGCGAGAGGCACGGTTGTGCTTTCGTGAGAGTCACGGCCGTGCCTCTCAGAAAGGGAAAAAAATACGCGTTTTCTGTTTTTTTACTTTCGCGAGAGTCATGGTTTTGCTTTCCGCGAGAGAATAGTTGTGCTTTCGCGAGAGTCACGGTCGTGCCTCTCGAAAACGAAAAAAAGCGCGTTTTCTATTTTTTTCCTTACACGAGAGTCACGGTATTGCTTTCACAAGAGGCACGGGTGTGATTTCACGAGAGGCACAGTCGTGCCTCTTTCGGAAAGGGAAAAAAACGTGCTCCCGATTCGGTTTTTTTGCCTGGTTATTTTCCTCCGGTTTTTTTCATAAAAAAAGTTCATCAAAACCTATTAACATAAGATCTAGTTTTGAAGATCTCGACGCGAGGAATCCAATGATGAAAACGGTTCGAGATTTGGACGCACGGTTTAAAAGATAAAACGTTTTGAATAAACGGATCTACGAAAAAAGGGAAAACTATCAGGTTGCGACAAGTGGTGCGCTGCGTGTGTGCCACTTGTCGCAACATGGGGAAGTGGAGTGTTCTTTGCAACGAGTACTCTTTAATTAGTGATTTCGGCGCACAGGAAGCTTTTCGCTACATGATAAATGGACCGGTCCATGCTAGTCTTCTTCCAGGACGGTTTTCTTTTGGTTTTCTTGGTCTGTATTCTTTCATTTTTGTTCTTTTTAAAAATTTGCAAACTTTTTCATGTTAGTGAACCCTTTTTAAAGTTTGCAAAATAAATAAACCCATGATTTTTAAATTAACTTATTTTAATTTCATAAACTTTTCCCACAAAAATATGATTTTTTTTCAAATTCATGATTTTTTTTGAATTTTGTGTTTTAAAACAAATTTCATGAAACATTTTCAAATTCACAACCTTTCCCAAATTCATGAACATTCTACAAATTCACATTTTTTTGTAATGCGCGAACTTTTAACAAATCTGTGAAGTTTTTAAAATCCATGAGCATTTTTCAAACCCACAAATTCTTTTTCCAAATTTGTGAACCTTTTTCAAAAGTCAACGGTCGACCACCAAGCGTTGATCGAGTGAAGTTTTCTCTTATTGGCAGCGCGAATTGCTCACTTGTTGGGCCGACCCAGGCAAGAAGGGCGCGTGAGAGCTGGGTCGGTAACTGGCGCAAAGGGCGATAATTAGGAGCTCTCATGCCTAAAAATATCGTTCCCTCTCGAAGAGATCAGCAGGTACGAGGATAAGAGAGACAAAGATGTCGTCTGGATCTGGGGCGCATGGCTAGCATGGTCTTGTTGCTACCGATCTGGGGCTGAAGGGTTGCGGTCGTTGCGTTGTGGCTTGATTGGAGCTGGTGGTTTGGCTACTGCTAGCGGTGCGGTGGTTCTTTGGCCATGTTTGTTGGGGAACGCAGTAATTTCAAAAAAATTCCTACGCACACGTAAGATCATGGTGATGCATAGCAACGAGAGGGAAGAGTATCGTCCGCGTACCCTCGTAGACCGTAAGCGGAAGCGTTATGACAACGCGGTTGATGTAGTCGTACGTCTTCATGATCGACCGATCCCAGCACCGAAGGTATGACACCTCCGCAATCTGCACACGTTCGACTCGGTGATGTCCCGCGAACTCACGATCCAGTAGAGCTTCGAGGGAGAGTTTCGTCAGCACGATGGCGTGATGATGGTGATGATGTTGCTACCGGAACAGGGCTTCGCCTAAGCACCGCTACGATATGGTCGAGGTGGATTATGGTGGAAGGGGGCATCGCACACGGCTTGGAACAATCAACTTGTGTGTCCTAGGGTGCCCCGCTGCCCCCGTATATAAAGGAGCAAGGGGGAAGGCCGGCCGGCCCTAGTGGTGCCCAAGGAGAGGAGGAATCCTCCTCCTAGTAGGAGTAGGATTCATCCTTTCCTAGTCCTACTAGGAAGGAGGAAGGGGGAAGGAAGAGAGAGGGAGAGGGAGAGGGAAAGAGGGGCCGCGCCCCCTCCCCTAGTCCTATTCGGACTCCCCTTGGGGGGGCGCCACCTCCTGGGCTGCTGCCCTATCTCTCCCCTAAGGCCCACTACTTCCCCGGGGGTTCCGGTAACCCCTCCGGTACTCCAGTTTTCTCCGAAATCACCCGAAACACTTCCGGTGTCCGAATATAGCCGTCCAATATATTGATCTTTATGTCTCGACCATTTCGAGACTCCTCGACATGTCCATGGTCATACCCGGGACTCCGAACTACCTTCGGTACATCAAAACACATAAACTCATAATACCGATTGTCACCGAACGTTAAGCGTGCGGACCCTACGGGTTCGAGAACTATGTAGACATGACCGAGACATGTATTCGGTCAATAAACAATAGCGGAACCTGGATGCTCATATTGGTTCCTACATATTCTACGAAGATCTTTATCGGTCAAACCGCATAACGTTAACGTTGTTCCCTTTGTCATCGGTATGTTACTTGCCCGAGATTCGGTCGTCGGTATCTCAATATCTAGTTCAATCTCGTTACCGGCAAGTCTCTTTACTCATTCCGTAATGCTACATCCCGTAACTAACTCATTAGCTACATTGCTTGCAAGGCTTATAGTGATGTACATTACCGAGAGGGCCCAAAGATACCTCTCCGACAATCGGAGTGACAAATCCTAATCTTGATCCATGCCAACTCAACAAACACCATCGGAGACACCTGTAGAGAACCTTTATAATCACCCAGTTACGTCGTGACGTTTGGTCGCACACAAAGTGTTCCTCCGGTATTCGGGAGTTGCATCATCTCATAGTCATAGGAACACGTATAGTTATGGAGAAAGCAATAGCAACAAACTAAATGATCATCCCATTAATCAAATGATAACTCATGTCTATGGTTAGGAAACATAACCATCATTGATTCAACGAGCTAGTCAAGTAGAGGCAAACTAGTGACACTTTGTTTGTCTATGTATTCACACATGTACTAAGTTTCCGGTTAATACAGTTCTAGCATGAATAATAAACATTTATCATGATATAAGGAAATATAAATAACAACTTTATTATTGCCTCTAGGGCATATTTCCTTCAGTCTCCCACTTGCACTAGAGTCAATAATCCAGTTCACATCGTCATGTGATTTAATACCAGTAGTTCACATCTTTATGTGATTAGTTCACATCTCCATGTGACTAATACCCAAAGGATTTACTAGATTCAATAATCTAGTTCACATCGCTATGTGATTAACACCCAAAGAGTGATCATGTTTTGCTTGTGAGAGAAGTTTAGTCTATGGGTCTGCAACATTCAGATATGTATGTATTTTGCAAATTTCTATGTCTATAATACTCTGCACGGAGCTACTCTAGCTAATTGCTCCCACTTTCAATATGTATCTAGATCGAGACTTAGAGTCATCTTGATTGATGTAAAAAGCTTGCATCGACGTAACTCTTTACGACGAACTCTTTTATCACCTCCATAACCGAGAAATATTTTCATAGTCCTCTAAGGATAATTTTGACCGCTGTCCAGTGATCTACTCCTAGATCACTATTGTACTCCCTTACTAGAATCATGCTAAGGTATACAATAGGACTGGTACACAGCATAATATACTTTATAGAACCTATGACTGAGGCATAGGGAATGACATTTCATTCTCTTTCTATTTTCTACTGTGGTCGGGTTTTGAGTCTTTACTCAACTTCACACCTTGCAACACAGGCAAGAACTTCTTCTTTGACTGTTTCATTTTGAACTACTTCAAAATCTTGTCAAGGTATGTACTCATTGAAAATCTTATCAAGCATCTTGATCTCTCTCTCTATAGATCTTGATGCTCAATGTGTAAGCAGCTTCACCGAGGTCTTTCTTTGAAAAATTCTTATTCAAGTATCCTTTTATGCTATCCGGAAATTCAGTATCATTTTCGATCAACAATATGTCATCCACATATAATATCAGAAATGCTACTGAGCTCCCACTCACTTTCTTGTAAATACAAGCTTCTCCAAAAGTCTGTATAAAACTATATGCTTTGGTCACTTTATCAGAGTATATATTCCAACTCCGAGATGCTTGCACCAGTCCATGGATGGATCGCTGGAGCTTGCACACTTTGTTAGCACCTTTTGGATCGAAAAAACCTTCTGGTTGCATCATATACAACTCTTCTTTAAGATATCCATTAAGGAATGCAGTTTTGACATCCATTTGCCAAATTTCGTAATCATAAAATGCGCAATTGCTAACATGATTCAGACGGACTTAAGCATCGCTACGGGTGAGAAGGTCTCATCGCAGTCAACTCCTTGAACTTG